GCTGGGCTAAGGGACCCCCCCGCCCCCGAGTGCGCAAATTTTTATGCACCAGGCCTCTATAATAATGAAAGCATAATATGCTAATTAGACCAGATGGCTGAACGACCTTCCGGACGACTTTCCCGATGAAGCCGGGGCTGCACGGGCCAAGCCCCTTGCATGAATTTTATGCATAGGACTTCTAGTGGCACTATAAAAATATGTCTTTAGGAAGACCTATTAAAAATGTTTCATTATACATTTGAAGGGTTTACTGTTCTTGATTCACCTTATTCTACATTTTGGGTAATTTTTCTTCTCTTTTTTTTTTTTTTTTTTGTTAATCCTCACGTAAGGATAATTTTTACATTGATTCTTAGAGAGAGTGGAAAGGAGGGGAGAGACAGAGAGAGAAATAGCGATGTGAGAGAGACACATCGATTGGTTACAGGATTGAGCCTGCAACCAAGGTACTTGCCCTTGACCAGAATCAAACCAGGTACCCGTCAGTCCTCTGGCCAATGCTCTATCCACTGAGCCAAACCAGCTAGGTCTGGTTAATTTTTCTTAACAGTGAGAAAGGCCTGTTGTAATGTATGATAAGGCAAGAGCAGTAAGGCAGGGACCAGGTTTTGGAAGAGCTTGGTATTTTAAACTAAGAAATTTAAACTTTCAACAAATGTTTATTATTATTATTATTTTTAATTCTTTATTGTTCAAAGTATTAATATGTCTCCTTTTTCTTCCATTGACCTCTCCTAGCCCGTTCCCACCTCCCAGCACAGGCCCTGACCCCCTATTGTCTGTGTCCATTGGTTATGCTTATATGCATGCATACAAGTCTTTTGGTTGATCAACAAATGTTTATTGAACACATGTTATATGCCAGACTATGGATTTACTATAATCCTGAGTGTGTGGTTGTGCTGTGCTGCCCCTCCCATGCTCCTAGAAGCTAACTAGTGGTTCTCAAGGGGTTGTATTATTAAGCAGTTGTCTGGGAAGCTGCTTTTCACAAAATACATGTTCCTTCTGCCTCAGTAGAACATATGTGTTTTGAAAAATCTTCCCGGGTGATTTTTATATTCCTTCCCTTTTGAAAATCATTGTTATGTTCCCCTGCAGGGCTTTTTGAAAAAAATTGAATAAACAGCAAGCAAAATTGTAATTAATATTGTTAAAATATTCATAACCCTGTTAGCTTTCCTCATTTCATAATACTTAAACTAAAATAATTCATGTTCTGATTATACTCTCAGCAAGAATTAAATGCAGTTGTCATATTTAGAGTTATATTTTATGTAACAGACATTGATTTGGGAAGAATTGGGTTTAGTGTTCTTAATTGTGTCCTTAGGTATGCCTTTGATAAATAAACTGAAAGTTGTCATTTATAATAGTACTAGAGGCCCGGTGCACAAAAATTTGTGCACTCGGGGGGAAGGAGAGGGGTCCCTCAGCCTGGCCTGTGCCCTCTTGCAGTCTGGAACCCCTCAGGAGATAACGCCCTGCTGGCTTAGGCCTGCTCCTGGGTGGCAGAGGGCAGGCCCAATCCCTAGGTGCAGCCCCTGGTCGGGCTCAGAGCAGGGCCAATTAGGGAGTTGGGGTGCCGCCCCCTGTCATGCATAGAGCAGGGCGGATCGGGAGGTTGCAATGTCACCCCCAGTCACGCTCAGGGTAGGGCCGATTGGGGGGTTGGGGCAATGCCCCCGTCACACTCAAGGCAGGGTCGATGGGGAGGTTGCGGCACCACCCCCTGTCACGCACAGAGCAGGGCCAATCCGGGGGTTGGGGAGCTCCCCCCTGTCACACACAGAACAGGGCCCATCAGGGGGGTTGGGGAGCTCCTCTCTGTCACTCAGAGAGTAGGGCCGATAGGGGATTTGGGGGACTGCCCCCTGTCACACACAGAGCAGGGCTGATCAGGTGGTTGGGACGCCACCCTCTATCACCCATAGAGCAGGGCCAATCAGGGGGTTGGGACACTGCCACTGTCACACTCAGGGCAGGGCCGATGGGAAGATTATGGCTCTACCCTGTCACAGAGCAGGCCCCATGGGGGGGAGGGGGGTCTTGGGATGCCGCACCCTGTCACACACAGAGCTGCAGGGCGATCAGGGGTTTTGGGCGCTGCCCCCTGTCACGCTGATCCCGGTGCTGGGAGGCATATTACGCTTTTACTATATAGGATAGAGGCCTGGTGCATGGGTGGGGGCTGGCTGGTTTGCCCTGAAGGGTGGCCTGGATCAGGGTGGGGGTTCCCCACTGGGTGCCTGGCCAGCCTGGGTGAGGGGATGATGGCTGTTTGCAGCTGGCCACACACCCTTCAGGGTGGGGGTCCCCACTGGGGTGCCTGGCCAGTCTGGGTGAGGGGCTGAGGGCTGTTTTCAGGCTGACCGAAGCTCCCAACTCCTCCTTTTTTTCTTTTCTTTTTTTATTCTGGGCCAGCTTTAGCTCTGAGGCTCCAGCTCTTAGGCCTCCACTCCTGAAAGTGGGTATCAACTCTAGCTCTGAGATCCCGGCTCGCTGAAAGCTGGTTTCTGGGTTTTTTTTTTTGCTTCTATATTTGTTAAAATGTTTCAAACTGCAGGCTCAGAGGCCTGCAAGGCAGGTGGGGAATGTTGGTTTCCTCCGTCACTGAAGCAAGCAAGCCTCATGTTAGTTTCAAGCTGCCTGGCTGCCGGCCACCATCTTGGCTGGCAGGTAATTTACATATCTCACTGATTAGCCAATGGAAAGGGTAGCGGTCGTATGCCAATTACCATGTTTCTCTTTTATTAGATAGGATAGTATGTGATCTACATGGCAAAGACGTGATTAAATATTAGACTTAAAAATGCTTTTAGTGAAAGATAAATTTAAAATTTTAAAAATGCTATGAGGAAATAGACTATCAATTTTGTCAGACTGGTAAAAGGAATAAGTAATAATGGAAAAAAGTAAATATGCATTTAACTAGTAATTAAACTATTTGAGTCAACAATTAAATGAGCAGCTGCTGAGTATGTGCATTTATGTTCTTCTCAGTAGAATTAATTAGGCTGTCTCTTTGTGTCAGTGCTCTCCCAGGGCAGGGATCTATGAGCTCAGTACACCTACGCTGCCGTTGAATTCACAACTGAATCGTAGAATATGACATTATGGATTAGGGGAAAAATTGAGAACTAACATGTACAATTGGTATATTGTGTATTTTTCTTTTTATTAGTGTGCCGATCCAACAAAAGCCCCTGGGTCTGTTTGACTTGTTCAAGTGTCCACTGTGGAAGGTAGGTGACATTCTTATTACTTTGCTTCCCTACTTGTATTTTTCAGTTTGCTTTTAAGCTTTATGTTAACAGTTTATTGATTTGGATTTATTTAGCACCATTACATAATCATAATGTGTAATTCTCTGTAGAGTTTATCTGTCCCCATAGAATCTGTTGGGT